GGCAATCCACTCACCTCAGCCTCCCAAAGGCGCAGGATTACAGGCTGAGCCACCGAGCCCGGCTTCCATTCCTTTTTATTGCCAAATAATATTTCATTGTATAGATATACCATACTTTGTTTGTTCATCAGCTGATGGACAAGTTATACATATATTTTTCTGTTACATAATGTATTAATCTGCTTGGGTTGCCATAAAAAAGGGCTATCGACTAGGTGGCTTAAGCAACACAAATTTATTTCTCACAGTTATGGAGGCTAGGAATGCCAAGATCAAGGTACTGGTCCCTTCTGTTTCTGGCTTAGAGACAGCAACCTTCTCACTATGTCCTCACATGACCTTTTTTCCGGTTGCAAGTAGAGCAGGAGCAAGAGAGGAGAGTTCTGCTGGCTCTTCTTCTTATAAGGACCCCAGCCCTGTGCAACTAGGCCTCACCCTTATGACCTCAATTTAACCTTGATTTACCTCCTCATAGGATGCTATGGTTTGAATGTTCCCTCCAAAACTCATGCTGAAATGTAATTGCCATTATGACAGTATTAGAAGGTGGGATTGTTAAGAGGTGATTAATGTTGTTATTGTGGGAGTAGTCGGTCATCACAAGAGCGGCTTTGTTATGAAAGCAAGTTTGGCCCCCGCTTGCTTGCTTTCCCTAGACCTCTTTTGCCCTTCCGCCTTCTGCCATGGGGTGACACGGCATGAAGACTTTTGCCAGAGCTGGTACCGGGCTCATGAACTTTCCCGCCTCCAGAATTGTGATCCACATAAATTTCTGTTCATTCTGAACAGTCATTCTGTTATAGCAATGTAAAATGAATGAAGACATAGGCCCTATCTCCAACATAGTCACAATATGGATTAGGGCTTCAACATATGAACTTGTGGGTGGAGGGACTAGGAAGGCACTCAGACCTTCAACCTGTAATATACATAATAAATGTATTAAAGTTCCTGATTTCACAGGTATAGGATGAGGCTAAGTTTTAAAAGTTTTTTTTAAAGTTGTATAAAATATTAGCAAGGAATATTGCAAGTGTGTAATCTATTTGAAATTTATAAATCCAAAAACCTCTGAAACCAAAACATGGTTTTGTAAGTTTTGTGCAAATTCACTTGGCAAAACCTGTCCTGAGCTAACATGAAGCTGTTTGTAGTCTTTATGTCTTCTAGTTTCCTACATCCCAATTGGCTCTGCAAAAGTCCTCAGCCTGATTCTCATTGGTCAGATTGAATCACCTACCCATCCCTAAACCAACCCCTGTGGTTACTGACTGGCCATGTCTTAGTCTGGACCAGTCTGTGTGACTTAGTGGAGAATTAGAGGAATGCTCTGATTGACCAGGCTTGATCACATGCCCACCCTTAGAGCCCCACCCAGAACACCTGGTGGGAGGGGGCCAAAAAAGTCATTTGGATTCTTAAGAAACCTCAGGGTGCTTTCTGGGAAGGGTGGGGGACAATGTGTTGGCAAAATCAACAAGTGGTTCACCTCTCTGTGGTCCATTGTGCTCTTTTTCAGGAGACTTGTACACCCAGGCAGCAGAGGCAGCGATGGAAGCCATGAAGGGCCGGCTGGCCAACCAGTACTACCAGAAGGCAGAAGAGGCCTGGGCCCAAATGGAGGAATGACTTGCCGGAAAATCACTGCCAGCTAGTCCCAAACAAAAGGGCTGAGAGGAAGGGGGGGAGACTTAGCTTAGGAAGGAAAATCATTTTTAGTATGTTTTAAATCAATTTTTATATTTTATTTTTTGACTCTTGAAAATGTCTTTGCTACTATGCTAACCATCAGAGACTGTACAACTGTCCCTTAGGGCAGTATATGGGGAGAGTGGGAGTTGGAAAAGCAGCCCAATGAACCAACATGTCATTTTTAGGCTCTCTCTTAATTTTTATTTCATTTTTTGTCACGAGATATAAGAAAGTGCTTTTTGCTTTGGACGGACATTTCAGGATGGCTGAAATCTCGGGCCCATGGAGCCCTGTGTTTTATGCGTCGGGCCGGGGAATGTAGTGCTGCACGTAACTTTCCATGGGTGCATATTGTGGTGACTTAGCCCAAAGTCTTCTTTCTCAGAGCATTTGGAAGTGTGCATGGCATTTTTCAGAGGATATGGGATGGCACCGTCTCCAGGCCCCCTTCTGCCGTGGGGAGGGGCACACTGAATGCATTCTAAACTTGTAGTTCAATTTTCTCCTCCAAGGCTGCTGATTCTCTCTAGCAGACTAGCCCAATTCCATTTTGTAAGCATGCGTTTTACAGTGGGCTTTATAAAACAGTTTGATTTTTTTTTTGTATGCACACATTTACTACCTCTGACTCCAACATCAGCTAGTGTGGAAGAGGGAGCGCCTCAAAGCTTTTATGTGTAAGGATAGTGCTTCCTTCAAGCAGACATGTGCTCTGCATCTCAGTGGCAGCATCCACAACATGACTGAAGTGTCCCTTGTACAGTATTCCTCAGCGTTTTCTTAGCATCTGGATGTTCTTGTGTAGCGTCTGCTCTGCAGCCCGGGTCCTAGGCATTTTCTGCTTGAAGCTGGGTTGATTTTCCTGTAGTCTGCAGCAAGATGCTTTCAGCAGCAGTCCCTTGAGATTTTATCTAAGATGTTTAAGAATGAGAGGTCAAGAACTGTAAACACTCATTAATTCCAGTAGTTTCCCCAGGGCCAGACTATAGTTATCTTTATTTAATGAGCTTTTCCTTTCAACAGAGTTCAGATTCCATATTAGGATGACATTTGGTGTTTCAAATAGCAAAGAAAGCAGACTGCTTTGGCCGGGCATGGTGGCTCACCCATGAAATCCCAGCACTTTGGGAGGCTGAGATGGGAGGATTTCTTGAGCCCAGGAGTTAGAGACCAGCCCAGGCAACATAGCAAGACCTCATCTCTACAAAAAATAAAAAAATAAATTAGCTGGGCATGGTGGCATGGTGCCTGTAGTCCCAGTTACATAGGAGGCCAAGGTGGAAGAATCACCTGAGCCCAGGTGGTTGAGACTGCGGTAAGCCATGATCAGACCACTGCAGTCCAGCCTGGGTGTCAGAGTGAGACACGAACTTAAAAAAAAAAAAAAAAAAAAGACTACTTTGATCAATTCCAAATGCTAAAGCAGCCTTTCTTCCTTTGTTTAAAAATAAAAACATAAAAAAAAGCAGAGTGTCACATACAAACCATTCTTATCTGTTTATTAAAACACATCCTTCAACACTTTAGTATTGAGTTCTGTGTAGTCATGTACCTGTGCAAGCATTAGGCTCCATATTCCCATGTACACTTGAAGGAAAAATCAAGCAGAGTCAGAATTACCCTTGAAAAATCCCTTAGATCACCCATAAATGACAGTGTTCCTGGGTTTTATATATGGACTCATCACAGCCAGTTTTCCTTTAGAAGTTGAAACTGATTATTTTTATGCCATTTGTACCCAATCAGTAGTCAGCTTGTGTGTGTGTGTGTGTGTGTGTGTGTGTGTGTGTGTATGTGAGTGTGTTTTAAACCAGTACATACAGTTAAATTGCGTATGTTAAATGTAAGGAATTTAGCTAGGCATGGTGGTGTGCACCTGTGATCCCAGTTACTTGAGAGGCTGAAGTGGGAGGATCACTTGAGCCCAGAAGTTCAAGACTGCAGGGAGCTATGGTTATTCTAATGTACTCCATCCAGCCTGGGTGACAGAGCAAGACCCCATCTCTAAGGCCAAGGTGAGTGGATTGCCTGAGCCCGAGGGTTCAAGACCCACCTGGGCAATTTGGCGAGACCTCATCTCTACAATAAATCAAAAAGTAGCCAGGCGTGGTAGCACACAACTGTGGTCCTGGCTACTTGGAAGGCTGAGTGGAAGGATCACTGGAGCTCAGCAGGTGGAGGCTGCGGTGGCCGGGAGTGGCCACTGCACTCCAGTCTGAGCGACAGAGTGAGACTCCAACTCAAAAAAAAAAAACAAATGTAAGAAGCAATTTTATCACGATTTCTCTCTCCAAAATAATCAAGCCTCATGTAATTCATGCTTTTTGTTGTTAATTAAACCAGCCTCCTCTGTATCTGAGGTTTTATTATGTAAATAGTTTATGTCCCTGATTGCCCATCTAATTTCTTAGTCATATGACATCTCTTCTGTAGCAGGAACTTATTTGTAAAGGGCCAGATAGCAGAGATTTTAGGCTTTGCATACCATATGGTTTCTGTTGCAACTATCCAACACTGCTGTTGGAGCACAAAAACAGCCATAAGCACGTGTTGCCACATACCTGTAGCCCCAAGGTACGTGGGAGGCTAAGGAGGTAGGATCACTTCAGTTCAGGAGTTTGAGGTTGTAGTGAGCTGTAATCCTGCCACTGCACTCCAGCCTGGGTGACAAAATGAGACCCTGACTCCAAAAAAAAAAAGCCATAGGCAATATGTAAATAAATGAGTGTGACTTTATTTACAAAAATAGGTGGCCCTCTTGAACTGCAGTTTGTCAACCTCTTCTAACCCTTGACTGAGATGACTTTATTATTATTATTATTATTATTATTATTATTATTATTTTGAGTCAGAATCTCACTCTGTCTCCCAGGCTTGAGTACAGTGGCACGCTCATAGCCACCATTGCCTCTACCTACTGGGCTCAGGTGATCCTTCCGCCTCAGCCTTCCAAGTAGCTGGAGCCACAGGCATGTGCCACTATACCTGGCTAATTTTTTTGATGTATTGTAGAGACGAGGTCTTGCCATGTTGCTCAGGCTGGTCTCAAACCCCTGAGCTCAGGCAGTCTTCTTGCCTCTGCCTCCCAAAGTGCTGGGATTACAGGCTTGAGCCACCATGCCTGGCTACTGTTATTGAGTCAGAATCTCACTGTGTCACCCAGGCTGGAGTGCAGTGGCATGCTCACAGCTAATGCAGCCTCGACCTGCTGGGCCCAGGCAATCCCTCCGCCTCAGCCTTCCAAGTAGCTGGAACTACAAAGCACTCACCACTACACCTGGCTATCTTTTTAATTTATTGTAGAGATGAGGTCTCACCAAGTTACCCAGACTGGTCTTGAACCTCTGGACTCAGGCAATCCTCTGACCTCTGCTTCCAAAAGTGCTGGGATTACAGGTGTGAGCCATTGTGCCCAGTGAGAGTACTTTATTCATCACTGAGAGCAAGAGTTATCTCAAAGTTGTGGCCTCCAGGGCTCAAAAACAAAGTACCTTGGTACAGAGTAGGCCAGCCCTAGTCAATGCACTCACGCTTTGAGGCTGGTTCTTCCAACCACTTAATGATTCATTGGGTTAGCTTGAACCATCACCCCAGCATTTCCACGCCCCACCCACTCACGTGGCCTTAATGTCAGTAGCTGGTGGGCTTCTCCTCCAGGGAGGCTGAGATGGCCTGAATGTAGAGCAAAACAAATGCTGGTTTAAGGACCCTTGAAAGTAAAAGAGTTACTTGCAATATGTTGAGATCCTTCTAAGCCAGTAGAAGGAATTATTCCACCTTCAAAACCTAGTTTTGTGCCTTCTAAAGCCGTCAAAAAACAAAAACAAAAAACCCAGGACACTCCAGCCCAACTGGGAAGACATCAGAGACTGTTTTCAAATGCAAGAAGCAGCTGAAAGTCCAGGAGATTAGCAGAGCCAGGATCACCACTGTACTGTCATTTCACAGATGGAGAAGCCAAGGTTCTGCCAGGTAGATACTTTCACAGTGATGCTGTAGCTAGGCACTAAAATGGACTAGGGTTTGAGATCTGCTATTATTGAGAGGATCCTGGTAGTAAAATTTAAACTTAAACTGGAGTTTATTGACCCTTTCAGATTTGTTATTGGTAAGAGAAAAAATGGCCACATGCATGAATGAATGACTTTTTGGATGTAAGAAAGAAGAGAAAAAACTCCCAAGCCCCAGTGCTTCTGAATAGCTCTGTTCTCCCCCTCACCTGAGGCACTGTGGGAATTTATCATCTGATGCAACCTTGAAGCACCAAACCAGGTAAACTGCTCTTGCTGCTGTCTTAGTGACTTTATTTCCTTTCATCCCAGCACAGTTGTCTGCAGTACTAGACACGTTTTACAAATCAACAAGTGTTTACAGAAATATATGCAGCTTATTTTGGGGGAAAAGGAGACAAAATAAGCATATTCTCAGTGTGGATTTATGCCTCTTACTTGTGTTTCTAGTCTCTAAGGGAACCATTGTACCTTTGCAAGGTGGGGCCCAGAGAAGTGGCTTTTGTTACAGATTTATTTTGGCATATGTAGTTAGTTCCATTTCGTCTTTCTAAATAAAGTGTTTTCTTTCCTGTTTCACATTCAAATGTCTTCTGGTTAAAAATAATACTAGGCTGGGCTCATGCCTATTATTCCAGCACTTTGGGAGGCCAAGGTGAGAGGAATGCCTGAACCCACGGGTTCGAGACCAGCCTAGGCAACTTGGTGAGACCTCATCTCCACCATAAATCAAAAACTTAGCTGCATGTGGTGGTGCACACCTGTGGTTCCTGCTACTTGAAAGGCAGAAAGTTCACCTGAGCCCAGCAGGTCCAGGCTGTAGTGGCCGTGAGTGTGCCACTGTACTCCAGCCTGAGTGACAGAGTGAGACTCCAACTCCAAAAATAAATGAATAATAATAATAATAAGGTGAAGTAGCTGGCTAAAGGCTGGAGTAGACCAGAGCGTTCATGTACTACCTGAAAAGGGCCACGATTCAACTTCTAACAATTGTCACCATGGATAGTATGGGTCCAATATTGCGCCATTTTCCAATTTTTCAAGAATTGCTGGAAATTGGATTTTTATGAGCCCTCCTGATTTTTGACATTTGTAATAAATTCTAATAATTTTTAAAAGCCTTACAGATATTGCTCATATGCTGTTAATTTGCTTTAGATAAAGTATGGAAACCTCTCATTTCCTTATTTGCTCATCTATAAAACATAAAGAATTTTTTACCATTACAGGGTTATCTTCGGCTTCAGAGAAGATAATGCATGGTAAAGTGCTTTTTTGATCCAAAACATAAGAAAATCTTGTTACTAGTATGATCATTTGGTTTCAAGCTAATCATTTTTTAATTATAAGAAATTAAGCCAGACGTGGTTGGCTTAAGCCTGTAATCCCAGCACTTTGGGAGGCTGAGGTAGGGGGATTGCTTAAGCCCAGGAGTTCAAGACCAGCCTAAGCAATATAGCAAGAGTGTCTCTACAAAGTATAAATAAGTAAAATTACCTGGACATGGTAGCACACACCTATAGTCCTAGCTACTTGGGAAGCGGAGGTGGGAGGATCACTTGAGCCCGGGAGTCAAGGCTGCAGTAAG